TCCACTGCGTTCCGGTGAAGCATGAAGCGGTTCGAGGACTTATGTACTAAGGCTCACTCGGAGATCCTCGGATGACTCGTACCTCGCACATAACCTCGGACGTCAACGGTGATCTACCATCTTGCTGATTCAGTCATGTGATCTTATTTGAATTTCTTTCAGATGTCATACTTTTGAGATCGGAGTTATTTTTTGGCACACTCAACAGTTTCTTCTTGCTTTCAAAGCCTTTTAACATGAGGATGTAATCAAAACCTGTTTACGATAAAGAATTGCACAAATTAAGAATCATTTTCGAAGAACGTTATGCAGAGCGAAATATGAAATGAGTGATAAGGCAGTTTCCGGCGGAGAAATGTAAGGATCTTTTGCGTATTCCTCCACCAATCACATCCGAGGTTTGAATTTTTAGCGTAGTGGATATTGGTTTATAAATATGTATATGCTATATATGTCGGCACGCTTTTCATATATTAAAAAAAAAAATAAAGTGCATTTTCACAAAAATTATCTTTCGTTTAAAGAAAAAACTCTGTGAGTATATAGACGTCACCTGGTTTACGTCATAAAATTGATGATAATGTGTTGACCAAAGGGTTTTATAGTAACCCTAAAAAATGAAAGTTTTGCTTGTTTCATAATAAACAATTCATTGCATGAATTTCAAACAGAAATGTAATTAATGAAATATTTTTCATATTCCCCTGGGCAAAATGAGATTTTACTTCATGCAATTTTGAACATATTTCCCTCACTATCATGCAATAAATGTATAATGTTTAATGGACCTTCGAGTTCGAATACTATTCGTTAGTTCTGTATATTTCATTTATATGTCGACACTATTATGTCCAAGTGAGCTTAAGTCAAATTTTGCAAATTAACTCCGAAACGGGTGCACCCGAGTTCTTACTTACTCCTCTAACAAGAAACAATATATATACAAGGTGATTGATGTTCGTAAAATATATTTCGATTTCACTAGCATAGTTAGCATCCTACATTAATTCAAAAATCTGCTATGATTTTCTACAAGTTGATCTTTTTAAAAAGATAGGTGAGCGCTATCCGTTAAATTGTATCCCTTTTCTAATCAATTAAAGCTATAACGTTTTGTGATTTAAATCAATATACAAAAGCTAATTTTTACACATATACTTGGATATTGGTTTATAAATATGTACATGCATATATATGTATCTTATTGATATTTAAAAAAAAATTATAGTGCATTTTTACACAAATCAATAGGGTTTATAAACCAAGACTCAAGTAAACCTGTGAGTTTTATTTTTACCCCTTCCAACCCCTTTCTCCCCAAAAATAAATTTATAAGTAAAATGTGCATATTCGCTGCTTTGATCCTTCATGGAATTGAAAAAAGAGCATCCGAAGTACAATATCCATAACATAGTTTAACAAATTTCACAAGAAATGTCAATTAATGAAATTGTTATTTTTCAAGTATTGACAAAAAAGGGGTGAGGTGGAGATGTAAATCTACTTCATGCAGGATTTTGAACAAAGTATTTATTCTGTCTATAAGCCTGTGGGCTATCAGTACATGTAGAAACTACAATACACATGTATATTTCCTGTCGGTAGCAGGGGCGTAGCAACAGGGGGGCTGCCCCCCCCCCCACTTTTTTTCCCAACCTTACTTATACTATAGGAAATGTTAATGGAAAGCCTGGTTTCCCCCCCCCCGCTTTAGTGATGTACAAAATGTAGTATTAAATTGGTACTGAAAGTAGTTGACATAGAAAAAGTTTACCTACCCCCCCCCCCCCCCTCCCACGAAATAGGATTTTTTTTCGACTTTGGGCAACTTTCCTTTTTTTTTTTTGCTTGTCAACTTTTTTCAGGTAAGTACAAAAAAAAAATTTTTCTGGCTGGCCCCCCCACTTTCAAAAACGATGCTACGCGCCTGGGTAGTGATAACTATAAATTCAATTCCCAGCACTTGCGTGGGATTTCATCTACACTGTAGTTTTACCAGGCAAAAGACGTTAATGGTGACCTAACAACCAAACTTTATGATTTCCTTACTTATGCAGCAATATACCCCTTATCACCTGCTTATCTCAGTTGATTTGATACACAAGACCATGATCTACGTATGAACAATGTCTAAAACGAGGTAAGTTATTGACAAAGACGTTGATGAAACAAGAATTAACAGTCTCGTTTTAAAATATCATTTTGTGACCCTGTTAGCAAATACAATATATCATTAATTCAAACTCAGACTGATGTTTTTCATATTTATTGTTAGACCATTATTTACACACTGATTTTCGACGGATTTTTGCGTTATTTCCCGATGATGACAAGGAGCACACGACGGGAGTGACCGATTGTTAGGGGGTGCTCATTCCACCATGGCACTTGATGTTTGAATTTCCTTTTGAGCTCAGATACTGTTCGTTATTGACATATATTTCAGTGCCATAGTTTGATATGATATTTTACCGAAGTCTTGCTGAAGCCGGATATTAAAGAATTTTTAGAAGAATCATATGATATCATTTAATGGTAAAACTGACAAGCAAATTATCACTGGAGGAAGTAATCACGTTTGTTTTTGTGCACTTTTCAATATTACATGTATTTCTTGTTTGAAAACAACCATTGAAAGATATATGCAGTACAAGCGTCATGGAAGTGAACGGTTATTTTAAAAATTTTGAAATAAAAAAATAGAATGGAGATATTTTTATATATGACGTTTAACCTGAATTTTTGAAACACTGATGTCCCCTTATGGCAGCTTACGGCAAGAATTAAAGTTTTTCAAACGAATCAAACTCTAAGGTTAAGCTCAAGAGATCATACGTGTTATACCTCACAAAAAGGACTTGTCTCAATGAATATACCTGCATGCAAAATACTAGTATGAAAGTCAAAACACATGCCGTTCAAAGAATATTAAGATGGCCAATGTTTTATATAAGTAGGTCAAACACCAAGGTTAAAGTCAATAGATCAAAAATTATGATACCAAGGGGAAAGTCTTATCACAAGAATTTCACGTGTGAAATATAAAACCTATAGTTAAAATGACTCAAAAGTTAGGGTCTAATAAAATGTGTGGTTTTTTTTTCAATAAGTTAGTCAAAGTCCAAGGTTAAGGTCAAAGGAACAAAATTGTTGAAATCCTAAGGAAGGTCTAGTCACACGAAATACACCTGTGAAATATGAAAGACCTTGCACCAACTGTTCAAAGTTATGACAAAGGTTAAAGTGGGTAAAGCTCTAAGATCAAAGTCAATAGGTGAAATATGTTGGTACCAAAAGAAAGGTCTTATCACAAAAAGCATATGAAAATAAAATATGAAAGGAATATAGCTCCATTCAATAAAAAGTGATGGACAAGGTGAAAGTTCTTGCTGATAAACAGGCATACAAAACCTACACATAAACAACCTATACAATCCAAATCGTTCATAATGGTGGCATAAAATCTTTTTTATGCGCCCGGGTCGATAGATCTTGGGCGTATATTGTTTTTGTCCTGTCTGTCTGTCTGTCTTTTTGTCTGGCTGTCTGCAAACTTTAACCTTCGCCATAACTTTTGAACTACGAAAGCTAGAGACTTCATATTTGGTATACCTACCAAAACAAAGCTCTTTCAAATGACACCAAGGTCAATGACCTTGTGACCTTGACTGTGACCTATATGCTAAAATAGCTTTTTTGAACCTTCATCATTATTTTGAACCATGAAAGATAGAGACTTCATAGTTGGTATGCATGCTCCACTAATCAAGTTCTTTCAAATGATACCAAGGTCAATGACCTTGTGACCTTGACTGTGAACTATATGCTAAAAATAGCTTTTTGCTTATCGTCTGATATGCTTATCAATTAAACAAACAAACACACAAACAGACTTTCTCTTCACAAGAAAAACATTCTTTTGATGCAGACTATTCAGTATTTGGAGAAACTCAAGAAAATAATGTTTGTTTTATTTCTGTAACTTGATATGAATAACCATGAGTGGGTTGCATGGATTCCTGAAATTTAATTCACACGAACTATTTAAATTTGAAAAAATAATGAAAAGCCATAGCATAGCTCCAACCAGTCTAGCTGCAGAACTGTAGCTCTCCGAAAACATATCTATTGATAGACCGGTCTATCAACATATATTTTCGGAGAGCTACAGTTCTGCAGCTACAACCAGTCAAATATTATGGCAAGGGTTATTTTTTTGCAGACAAATGAAAAAGACGGGCAAAACCTCTGTACCCCGAATCTTGAACTTCGATTACGGGGGGCAAAAAGTAGAATTTTCTTTGTTTCGTATTTTTTTATTTCAATTAATTGTGAAAAATTTTCATAAATATTACTTTCTTTTTAAAAGTCTACCTTCTCTTCTTGAAATAATTTATTTATTACACGTAACAGCAAATCTTAAACTCCTTTAAGGTCAAGATCTAGTAAATAACTTTAGACTAATTTTTTGGTGCTGGATCCATAATGAAGTCATAATCAATTTCAACTTTCTTTTTCCCGTACTTTACGGCTTTAGCAGAATTATGTAGAAAATATGGTATTTTCATGACATTCAATTTGAAATCATATGAAAAGTAAACCGGATACCTAAATTAAATTTGATATTGATTTAAAGAAGAGGCCATGAACATACTAATTACCGTTTTCTGAGAAACTGTAGGCAATCTGAATACATTTCCTCTGTCGAATATAAAAAAAACTCCCATATTCATGACTGGTTTTCTTAATTTTTCATTGAAAATGACAGTTTAAAATATAGTTTTTAATCTTGTTTACCTACAAATTATACATCGAAACACCTTATTTGACCAAGCTAAAGTTGTAAAGCATCAATAAAGGAATTCATTTCTCAAATTTGATAAATCTGTAGGCACCTTTCATTTACTAGATCTTGACCTTAAAATATCTTATTTGCATTCACATAAAATCATTTTACATTTTATAGATAATCAATATCGATTTGACCTCTGATGAAATTCTTTGAGATCGGGATCGGAAGCCCGTTGATTGTGACGTCACAGGTGTGTTGCCGGGAAGCTGGAAAATTGGTAAGCATTGAAACTTGGACAATCAGAATGTTTATGGTTATTATGCATGGATGAAAGTGAAATGTTTGAAATATCCCTTAAAATGTAGTAAATGATTCTATGTGAACATTTTTACATTGTGGGGTAAAGCCCTTGTGCACAATTTCAAACTCTTGGTATCTTGCTCCAGCTCCATCGACCGTCGGCATTAAACATTTGCAAATTTATCTCATATCTGCTATAATCTTTAAAAAAGCAGCTACACTTTCTGCTTAATGTAATGCATACAGCATTAAAACAAATTATAGCCTCTCTATTTTTTTGGGGGGGGGGGGGGGGGGGGGGGTTATTTTGCAACGAATCTTATCTGCATATGTAGTAGTTCATTCGTAAAACTAGTCTGTATGGTTTTGTGATCTTAAGATAGATTAATATTGATGCTTTGAGGTATGATTTTATAAAGTTTTGAATCTTTCTCGAATTAACTGTAACAAGCTAAGCAAATTGATCAGTCCAGTCAAATACGAAAATTCGTAATATTACGAAAAAACGTAAGATTACGAAAAAGCGTAATATTACAAGTTATCGTAATATAAAACTTATATTACAATTTTTCGTAATGTAGTTAAATTATGAATAAGCGTAATATAGCAGATTGTAAGAGACTATATTACGAGTTTTTGTAATCCAAGACAAATTCAAGCATTGCAAGAAATTGAGTGGAGGGTATTTTTTCGTAATATTATGAATTTTCGTATTGGACTGGACTGTTGATGGGGACATTGATTTAAAGTCAGCAGGTGTTGGTTTTTAATCCCCCTCAGTTTCTGACAATTTTTTTATAAAAAATAAGTGTTATGGATTTGGCCATGGATATACTTGTAACCTGACCAATGTCTTGGTTGGTTGAGCACCTGACTAGTGATACAGACTACCCCTGGATTTGCAGCTGTAAGTCCTGCATGAGCAATAAGAACTTAGGTAGTGTCTTCAAGGACTTTTTTAAGAAGGAAGGAATGTCATTGTTTGGGCCATGGATGTTGGCCTAGATGGCTCACCTGGTAGAGCACCTGTATTGTAATACAGGAGTCCTGGGTTCTATAACTGGTTCAGCCTTGCATTTTCTTCTTCCCAATGAAAGTGACATATTCTGTGGAAAAAAATTGTTGAGTTGCCGGTCTTTCACATCATGCACTTTTTGGAAAGAAAAAGGTGAAGATATCAAACAGAGATCAATCTATTAAAAATCTACATTTAAAAAAAAAAGATTATACATCATTTTCAATATTTCTCTTATAAATATAAAAAAAAAAATTAAAACAGATTTCCAATTATCTTAAGATTATATTAATATACATCATTTTCAATATTTCTCTTATCAATATTTGAAAAAAATTAAAATAGATTTCCAAGTAGTAGCCCATAGTGTATTTTAACTCATTCAACATTTAGTAAAATAAACAGAAATCTTATGTCTGTCTTCCATTTTTTTCCCTTCTCTTTTGCATTACATTTTTTTTTATTAGCAGAGTGGTGAATATGTAGCTCAGTTTCAAAGCAGTGTGGCCCAAGGGTCATCATTTGAAATATTCCCCATCCTTAACTGATTATATAATAATTTATTTGAACTAATAATCCATATTTAATGGATAAGAATGAGACTTTGAACTTACAGAGAATGCTTTTTTGGCAGGATAAGAAAGTTCATTTTGGATTAGCAGACCTAACCAGACTTTTACCTTATAGTCATGTTCATTAAAATGTGTTAGAGGTCTAAGACTAATCCTCGGTTTGGCACACAAGTTTATATAATCTGTCAGATTTTAATTGTAGGTCACTGTGTTGCAATGGAGTGGAGAGTTTAAATTTTGTGGCTTGATTTGAGAAGGAAAGGTAAGGCAAGAACAGATTTTCAAAAAAATTAGTTGATGATTGAAAAAAAAAAGTTACGATAATTTTTTATATTTTAGGTAGGGAAAGCATTGATTTTATTAAGTGTTTCGTCATTTTCTTGATGTTAAATGAACATTTTTAGAGAGTAAAAATGAACTCTTACACACACAAAATTTGAATAAGCAGGAACTTTGTTGAAGAGAAAAATAGTTTTGTAAAATGGAAATTATTTGTAATTTTTTTTTTTTTTTTTGGAAAGGTATGAATTCTGAAGATGTGCATTATATTGGTCATTATCAAAGTAGTGCAAGTTATAATTTTTTCCTTATTGCTTGATTAAGGTAAAAGTTTGTTCTGGTTGTTTCATAGGACTACCAAGCATAAAGTAGATTATATCCCTTGACCATAACATACTGTATAAGGAAAATTTTAAGTAAAGATTCAATGTTGGCAAATTATAAGCAAGGCTGTGTATTAAGATGATGCAGTGTTTATTTTTAGTCCCTTCCAGGTTAAAGGTCAGGATGCTGGAGGAGGAGGATCGATGGGATAAACTTAAGAGCTGGGCCAATGTACAGCACGACATCCAGACCCGCCTACAGGCCCCCGACAAGTTTGATCAGAGTGTCTCACTCCACCATGGTCCACAGGTATAGTTAAGGTTTATTGACCCTTTAGTAAGAGACGTAACTCTCATGTCATTAAAAAATTTAAAATACCATTACTTCTAAGTTCTAAATAATTGTCAATTAAAAAGCTATTTCATGTCAAATATTGCTAACAAAGTATTCTGAAAAAGCTTTTTGTGAATTTTAAGCTTTCTTTGTTTGAAAAAAATTGTATATGCTTTAATGTAAAATTTGTTAAGTGTGATCAAAGAGATGTTGATTCCTAAACCAAGGCAGGTATTTTAGTTTATTTATTTTAACATCACACTTATGTGTAAATGCATCGTTAATGAAGATAAATCTTTGCAGTTGTATCACACCCTTCGGCATCCTTCTCACATTAAGTGTATGACACACTTTACCAGTAATGTTGGGGAGAACTTTGTGACCCATTATAGAATCGGGACAATGGACCACTTCTCTGTCTGGAACATGGAGTCTAGGGACCGAGATGCAGCATGTAACCAAAGAAGGTACGACTCCAGAATAGGATTAAAACTGTATTTTAATAGTCGAGGGCAAGCCTGTTGTGAAAAAGGAATCCTAACATTATTATAGTTCAAGTTTTCTTGAACACTTATATATATAAAAACAGTTCAACAGTCTTGCTATGTGCAAGATGTGAAAGTGCTTTGTATTTTATTTTGAAAATATATAAAGGGTACAATTTTTAATTTTCTTTTCAACTTTGTTACACAACGGACACCTACTGATGTGGGATGGTTACCACTGCAATGTCATGGAGCACTCTACAAGTCACTTTTTTGAATAACATTAATATAATGTTTTAATTCTGCATATTAATGCTTACTAGTATTTCTATTAATTCAATCTGATAACATTTAAAAACAGAATAAGACAGGATTGAATGATATTTATAGGTTCAACATTGATGCTGAGGTCACGACCCTGATGTTTGTTCCTAAGCACAGAGTTTACCTGGGATTTGGGTCAGATTTAGTAATGAGGGTCTACACGGATGCTATGAGTGGCTGCAAGAACGTGGGGTCAATTCCATGTGATACCACCATCTTATGGTAAGTTCTTTTAGTTTATTCAACTTATATGGCTCATGTTAGAGATTGTTCATATACACATAGTATCTTTACTCTTATTATTTTTTTGGCTCAATTACACACTTTTTCAACTACAGTTAGAACTGCATGGTCTTAATTTTATAAGTCAAAATACAAAATAAATTGAATTTAAAAAATTGCTTTATTTTTAAGAAATTGCAAATGTATATTGAGAAATCTTCACATTTTTGATTAAGATGATTATGGTTGTCTGGATTTACAAGTTTGAAGTATAACTTAGGTCTTCCCTTGACTATTCCGATTTCTCTGCCATTTCAGCATGTCCTACAACAAAGACACAGATGAGGTTTATGCAGGGGGGATAGGTGTTCTAGAGAAGTGGAAGTTTTCTGGGTCTGAGGTAAACATGCAATCTTTTTTCAGCTTTTTGAATATGTCATACTCTGTAATTAGGGTGTTTGACTGATGTTTTTATTTTTAGCACTCAGCGGTTGCTCAGAGGGGAGAGATGTTTGAGACGGAATTAAGATCAGATGAGGTAATCCGTCTTTTCACAAAATCATTTTTAATAATTACATTTCATTACTGTTAAATTCATTATAGTTATAAAGAAAAGGGTATTTATTTACAAACAACTTTTGAAATGTAAAGACATATTTATAATCTCTTCAAAAGCTTGAAACATGCATAAATTTTCACATATATGTATTTGTTATGTTTTGAAACAGTGGGTGATAGATATCAAGGTGGATCCTAGGAATAAACAGATGTTGGCTTTAACCCATGATGGAATATATGTTGTCAGTTTTGTGGTAAGGTCCTGAGTTTCAGCACAAATGAATTTTTATTTATTGATAAAATAAAGATTCACAGTACAATTAAACTTTTTTTGCAGAGTATGAAACAGACACATTTACTGCAAAACAGACATGAGGGCTCACTCAGATGGTAAGATAAGTTCCTGGAATGTGAAAAAAGAATATTATAAGCTAACTTTTCTTTTGTGAGAAATATCCATAAGTTTTGCTTCTAAATGCTTTTATTTACTGTTTTCTTAAACAAATCATTGATATTCAGAATTGCATTTATGTAGAATACTTTGTCAGCCTCCAAGATTAATTGAATGCATATTAATTTCAAAATGACAAATAGGAAACAAAATTTGCTGCAAATAATAATGAGTTTACGATGCTTCATTTCTTATTGTGAATTGTTGATAAATTAAATCAACAGTATTCTACATGTATGAAGGCACAGGTACTATGGTGACTTACTATATGGCCATTTTGTCCTTTTCAGCTGTTCGTTCTACAAACAGAGGGAGTACTTTATAACGGGTGGTGGCGATGGACAGGTCAAGGTCAGAGTTTTATGACATATTTAGTGTGCAGACATAAAATAGTGGAGTTAGATATAGTTTCATGCCCTTTAGGTTTCTGGTAGATTGTCATCATGCTGAAGGAATGAAATATTTTTTTTTAGTTGTTATATGTTTTTGAGATTTGAAATATTGTTGTAATTTGTCCTTTACTACAGGTATGGAATGCAGTGGTGTTCACACAGGTCCACGTGTTCTATGGTCATCGTGGACCAATCACAGGGCTCCAGGTCCACAGTACTGACCCACTGCTCTTCTCCAGCTCCATGGATGGCACAGTACAAATATGGAGGATGGACAACTTTAGCAAAGTACGGAAGTTGTCTCAATTTGATAGAATTCTTGTGTTCTAAGAAACTTTTTTAATTTAAGCAAGAAAATTTGTGAACAAAATTTGAATGAAACTTCTAAATTTGTATTGATGAATATCCTTAGACCTTGGAGGTTAAACTCTTTTTGTCAAATTTTGCTCTCCAGTTCATGCGGGTTGACTTAGGAGATGGTATTCATCAGATGAAATTATTGGGGGATGAAGAATTTTTCTGTCAAACAGAGAAGGAAATAAGAATTTACAATCTGAATCAGGTGTGTGAGAAATATATTGTCTAAATATTAATCATAATTTAGTTGAATTTGTCACAGAAATCCAAGAACTGTTTTAAAGCTTATATAACATTTTTCATATTTTATTTTTCTATTAGATTTTTAATTATTTTCTTTTCAGTTTTACACCCTGTTTGCTCCTGTAGAGTCAACCGTTTTCAAACTTCAGTTGTATCCTAGTGTTCATGGCCGTGCCAGTCGAGTCCTGTGTTCTACAGAGGTAAAACAATACTTGAAGATGAAATAAAGCAGGAGAGTCTGAGTTCCTGTGATATGAAATCTTGAATTAAGGACCTAGCCTTTATTTTATTGAAATGTTGTCTCTCCTCTGTTGTATTGAGATGTTGTCTCTCCTCTGTTGTAGGATGGGTCAGTCAGATTTTTCTCCCCTGTCACTGGAGCCACAATCACGATTGTCTATCCAATGCCAACTTTCCAGGTCAGTGTTTCACCTCAGTCTGCAGAAATTTGATTTAAAAGCAATAGAATCATTTACTAGTGCCTGTTTATGGAAAACTGAATTTCAGAAAAATGAATGTGGAACTGTAATTCTTGTTTTTTTTGACAGGTTTTGACTTCCTTTGCATACAACAGAGATAAGGAGAAGTTACTGACCATCCTACAGAATGGAGATGGTGAGATGTTTGTTTTATGTCATCACAATAAAATTATGTAGCTTTATAATCTGACATAGCAAATATTAATATGGGAAGTCTTTATTGTCATTGAAAAATTAATGAAAAAATATAAACTAAGAAAAAAAACTTCAAATATAGTGATGTATAAACTTAAAACTGAAGACTATTGAAATCATACTTGCGAAATAAAATCACTGGATTTTACTTTTTGTTTTCCTAAAATATGTTTTAAAACTTTTGATCAACAGTCCACTCATGAATTTATGTCTTCATGGTTTGACAACTTTAAGTAATTCCATGATTTTAAGTCCTAGCTTGCATAAAATCAGGAATCAACATTAGAAACCTGTTCCTGATTTACTGTTATTGTTGACTCTGATGCATTCTGTTACAGTGTTGGTGTTTGATTGTACCACTAACCCAAGTAAAGCGGAGGAGGTGTGGCAGGCAGCCTCGGTAGATGAGGAGGTCACTCAGCTCGCTGTCATGGCACTGGTCAGTAACCTACAGAAAAAATATACTCAGGGGTTTCTTGTTTATTCAGCATTCAAATAAATTCCTCAGTTTGTTGTAAAAATAGGACTGTAAATTTAAGGCTTTTGAGCTCCTTATAAATTATTCAAATGATACTTGTAAAATTTACTGTTAATTCTGAATAGTTGATTAGTCAATTAATTAGAATTTCAGTGAATACTAGTATTTCTTATTTCAAGGGATGATCTTGTAAATCATTATAATGAGATAATGAGTAGGAATTGGATGTTAAGCAAATGTTCTACTAGTAATTTGTTATCAGTTAGCTTATTTAGTAAAAAAAAATGCACCTGGCTCAGAAGAGCTATTAACAAATACCGGTGTATTATTACTGTATTTAGAGCTACAAGAATTTGGAAGATGAGGTTGTCAGAGAAATAGTTGTTTTTGGAGGATTAAAGAATGGACAAGTGAGTGATAGCTGATGTACTCAATATTTCATGAAAATTTGTAAAATTTATAATTATTTATAAAGAGTATGTTTGTTTCTCTTTCAACAAGCTGAGACCTATATCTTTTTAATAAAAATACTTCTTCGTACTACTGTAGGTTTCCCTTCTGGATGCTGACTGCTGTGTAATGGTGAAGAACCTCCAGGCACACGAAGGCACCATCACCTGTATGGAAGCCACCACGGATATTGACGACAGAGGGAAACAGATCCTAGAAACAAACACCACCCTCGTCACCGGTGGGGAGGAAAAGTCCCTGAAGGTGTGGTCAGTAATTGTCAAACCAGGACACTCAGGGAACAAAATTACACTGGAACCACTAATAAAGGTAACATGGCAGTATGAAGAAATAGTCGGCTCTTATACTTTTGCAGGCCTTATACAAAACATTGGGGGGGGGGCGTGATTTATTTTATATTTGGGAGTTAAAGTGAAAATGTTCTTAAAGAATACTGTAGATCACTAAATTTTCATGACACCTTATTTTCCCGAGATAGTCATTGACTCTTGATAAACGAGACAACATTTTCACAAATGGTAGTTATTGCTCTATATAATCCTAAGGAGTACTATTATATGCAAGAATTAAATTTTCACAAGCACACTGTCACGTGTAGTTACACGAAAATAAAGTTCTCGCAAATAAAAAGTAATTTACAGTTATCAAGCTCATGTATATTACAGATAATTCTTTATATTGTTTGGAGGCTAATATTTGATACTTTTCTCAACAAAGTGCAGTATAAAGTTTTCTATGTTAAAGAATTTCTATATTCACAGCAGCTAAAAGGGACCATTAAATGTTTTATCTTGACTTTGTTGTATTTTGACAGATACCCTGTGCTGGTATACCAGACCTCCTCAGTGTTTATGAGAATACTCTATGTGTCACCATCAACAGTCCTGACACTAAACTGTAAGTGATAGATCTGACATTGCAGAATCAGAGTGTAGACAGTATTGAAACATTTTTAAGAAATATCTATATGCAGCACAAACATGATTTATTACAAGTACATGTAACTACATTTTATAAAACTTGAAAACAGCCAAGTGTTGTAGAGAAAAAATAAGGAGATATAAAGTCCATTTCTTTGTTTATTCTTTTCATCAGTTTTTCATAATGTTTAATAAGGTTTTCAGTTCTTATAATAATCTCATCTTTTTACAGATATTTAAGAATGTACAGGATGGACGGCCGTGATCTGGAGAACGTGTCATCTTTACAGTTCACAGAACTTCATCACGCCCAGGACGAGGAACACACACAGAGGGTAACCTTGTCATGTATCCTGCATTTAGATTGTTGCTTATAAAACAGGCACATTATTTCATATTTGAAAAAGGTCCAAATATTACATTGTACTTTATATGCTTATGACATTAGATTCAGTATAGATTGTGAGTCTGCAAACAGTTTATACAGCAAAACTTGTTTAGTACGAACACGGATATAGCGAATTCATGGATATAGCGAATTTATTTTGGATCCCCAGCTATATAAATTCAACAAATTCCTCATTTGGATATAACAAATTACGGATATAACGAAGTTATTTCATAGGTCCCAGTGACTTCGTTATAAGCGAGTTTCACTGTAATTATTTCATAAATTTTTTCAAGTCATTTTGAAGTTATGATCATATAAAACTTTGTTGCTCAGATTTCTGTCTAAGTTTTTATGCCTGTGATTGACATTGTATAATCAACTTTCAGATGACGGCACTAGACAAATGTCCTCTGTTGGGACTGTTTGCTACTGCCAGTGAAGATGGCTATATCAAGGTAAGCATCTTTATTATACAAACCACTTTCTAGATGGTGCTCTGAGATTGAAATTAAGGGGTGCATAGGTCTTTGTCTGTATGTTTCACTTTCTGGAGGTTTAATTTAGAATTGATAATCACAGAAACCTGAGGTTTCATATTTTTAAGTGTAGGTGACCATTTCAACGTCAATTAGATTGTAGAAAAAAATAAAAAATAAAAAAATATATGCCCTTAACTATTTTGTATATGATGTTACTATCATCGTATATAGTATTTCATATTGTTGTCCTGTTACAGGTGTGGAATCGACACAATCAGCTGGTCAGGGAAATGTATTTCGGGGAGCCTCTCTATGGTCTCTGTTTTGCCAATGCTCGAGGGGATCTCCTTGTAGGATTTCAGAGCCATGTCTGGTGAGTGATGTTTGATAAGTTTTCTGGTTCAGATCCTTTGTCATGAAGTGAATTTGAAGTAATAGGAAACTCTGAATGAGTTAGATAATATCTTGCTCTGTTTACTCAACTTGTGCGACCAGCAGAAATCTTCAATTGCCTCTTCGGATGCTTTAGTTTTAGCAGAAATGTGTTTGTTGGCAATATAGAAAAGAAAATAATGCAGCTAAATGAAAAAAAAATCTGTACTAGAAACATTTCAGAGACTTGCAATAAATCTTTTGTGAGCCTGCAGGTATATTGCTAAAAATCAATAGACATTGGTAATCTGTTACATCACTTACAACAAGCTGATTTATTCCTTCACTGCCCCCTCTGATGTCTCAGGAAAACACTGGATATAGATCAGTGAAAGGTTTAATTGGTGATGGATTTTGTTTAATGAATAAATGCATGGCTGCTGGGTCTGTGGCAAATTATAATACGGGTAAATTTTATCACCACATTATATTCTGAGCATCATTTGATGTTGACAGTAAGTATATAGTAATTAGAATGGCTGTTTGAATTTTTTCAAGAGATGTCAGATTTCTTCGAGAGATGTCTGAGATTTTCTTCGAAAACATTAGATTCTGTAGTACATGTACTAAATTTTAAATGTTGCTTTGTATAGATTTATTTACAAATTCAGTGATTATGCTTAAGCAATGTAATTTTATTTATTTTTTTCTGTTGCCTAGAATCATCTACCTGATATTTAAAAGATTTTATTTGGTAATTAAAGTAGACATTGGTTACCTTAATTCCTTGTAGAAAGTTTAAAGAATTAACATTTTTTTATGGTTACCAATTTGCCTTCTGCATTAAGTCACATTTTTATTAGAATGTAAAATTTAACTGTTCATGAAAAAAATTTTCTTTCAAATGCAGACAGCTTTTATTGATAGTTAACTTTTCTAATTTATTATGAAGGGAAAAAAAAAGAGAAGGAGGGGGGGCATGGAGTGGAAGATTCATTTTTCATGAACACCCTTAGTGAATAGGGTCAACAGAATACTTTCTTCTTATGTATATCTAGCATCTATTAATCAGATCTATCAATAAAATATGTAGCTATGAGTTTTTGTAAGTTAAAGTTGAGTAATTAGCTTTATTACATAGTGGCATTGCATGAAGATCTTTATCACCGGTATCATATTACAGACTTTAATCTATGATGGAATAACAAGATTACAAATACACATCCTTAAGTTTTGTCTTTGATCAATTAATTAATTTGTTTTGCTCGTGGGGACCCTATAAAATATTTTTCAGATTTTGATAAGAAGGGTTGGGTATCCTCATTTTAAACATTGGCCTTTAATTGATATACTTTGTAAATAGATTAACTAGAACAATATGTCATTCAACAATGCTAGAATCATTTGTTTTTTGGGGGAGATATTTTGTTTATGAAGAGGTACTTTGGAATTTTTTCTCTAGCAAAAAGGTTTAGAACAATTTTTGAAAGTAAGTATTGTAGTTCAAATATTTTGTCTGAATGAGTTCATTTTTTTTTTTTTAATTAGTTTATGATGTTGGGTAGAATTCTTTTATCAATGTTCCATAGCTGTATTAATAATATTTGATTTCAACCATACACTATTAATGTAGCATTTATGCTTAATCTATGGAAGATTTGCATTACCTATGTGCATGTACTGTATTTAATAAATAACTTGATTTAGTACATTTGTATATAATTTTCAACATCAACATATTCTTTCATATCTTTTCTATTTTAAGCTTAATTCCACTGACCAACTTCTTCCCACAAAATTATCTGGAGCTTATTTCACTGCAAGAATTCAAGGTAAGCTATTCTTACTATCAAAAAATATTAATCTTGAAGACAATTTCTTTGGTAAGAATTTAGATAATGACTTCCCATTTATTGTAGGACGATTTGAGGGAACCACCAATACCATACAGTTCAAAGGTCAAATCATGGTAAGATTCATTTTTCAAAACTTTAAGCATGTAGAAAATCAAATTATTTGCCATCTTACAAACATTTTTTATTCATAATATTACTTATTAGAGATCAGGATGCAAAATTACAACAAGCTTCATTGACACTAGAATTTTAAAATGATCAAAATTTATAATTTAAATTAAAAAAATTTGTACCAATAACAATTCTACCAATCAATTTAATCAATAGCTGTAGAGTTTGTTTTGGGATGTTGATTATAATTCATTGCTTATGGATTTAAGCTTAGAAATTTACCTTTTTGCTGAATTTTTCATAAAATTGATATACTAAAGTTTTAACAAACTTGACCTTTGGTCCATCTTGAACCATGCCAGATTTAAATGAATTTAATTGTTTCAGAATTGCAAGACTTGTAACCATATCAGTTACAATGTACACATAAAATACTAATAAAAATAGATTTTCCTGACAATGTTATCCACTATATACATGTATATCAGGTTTGACCCAAGCAAGCTTCCGACCTTCAGCACGACCTTGTCTATCCGGAATCAGGAGAAGAAGGACCCGGATATTGACCAGGATATTCTGGAGGACATCGAGGATCACAGTGATTCCGAGGACAGCCTCCTCGACTCCCCCACCTACAAAAACTACCGCCTCCCAAAGTCCAAACTCAACGTCCAGGAGGAAAACCTGCTTAAAGAACTGGAAAGGAAGAGGAAGTCTGTTGTCGAACCTGGTAAAATGACCAATGAATTATAGAAATTTATACAGATTTAGTTATTATTTGTGCTTAATTTACATAAATATATTTCAAACTCAGGATGTTTTTCCAAATGTAATATTTGAGCATAGGGATTTTTAAAAAAAAAGTTTATTTATTAGCTGTTTTTGTCAAATCAGCAATTTTAATTCTTAATTTAAGAAATAGTGTTTTAATTGTTATTTCTGTGCATAATTTTCAGATGTGATGCAATACACAGATTTTACTGATATTTTCAATGATTTATACAAAGCTGAGGAAAGTCCGCAACCTACAGATGTCGAGGAAGGTATCATACAATTATTGATATGGATTTCATTATTTGTCACTCTTGCTTCCCTTTTAATTTCAACAATTTTAAGGTTTGAATTCAAGAATTATTTAAATGTTTACAAATACGGTGTATTTAAAAAAATAGTTTAAAAATTGTTTTGTCTGATTGGGAACAAGGATTGGATAATTAAGAACATCTATTTCAGTGTATTTTTAGGTGGTAAGTTGTGCATGTAAATAATTTATTTGGTCATTTTCCCCAGCTACCTTCTCTTTAGTGCTAATTACTCTTTTTATTTCAAAATGCAAATTTCAAAGTAAGAAAACCAATTTTTACCCTGTATAGATTATTTGAAGTATGCTCATATAAATGTATGTGTAAATAATACATGCATGTACGTAGAAAGGCTCTCATAACACTTTTGTTTATTACAAGTTAAGCTTTCTGCATGTAATTGTAGATTAGAGAACAGAATTGCATGACACCATTGACTTAGCATGCATGATGATGTATTTTTCTATACAATGGCTGTTCAAATAGTTTGTTGTTTCCACAATGTTTGTTGTGCAAAATCAAAGTAAAATTTGTTGGGTTTTGATTGTTTGCATGAACTCAGATTTTATTTTTTTTTTATTTAAAAAAAAAAGCTACTGTAGAAGCACTTTTTTCTGCGTGGTATTAATTTTCGCTATGTATGCGGTCACAAATTTTCCGCGGAAATTAATCCATGCGTACTTAATATAAATGTAAGGCATATGGTGCCAATGAAAGGTCAACATTACCGCTACATTGCCAAAAATTTCAACTCATTACCGCTACATTTTTTCAGATTTTCGACCGATCATTACCGCTACATTTTTCCTGCCAAAAACAACTCATTACCGCTACATATTGAACCAGCCCAAAACAACTCATTACCGCTACATATTGAACCAGCCCAAAACAACTCATTACCGCTACATATCGATTTAGCCAGGTATATATCATGGTTCGGTTTATGAGTTCTAAACAACAAAATTCACTCATTATATCTAATCAAAATGAGTATATTTATATAAAAAACTCTGCAGTCCAAATTTAATTATTTAGCGTCATCTGAACATATGACCACAATTGAGAAGTTTGTTACAAATCGAGGGAATGCCGGCTTACTTATCGATGGTTATAAATTTAGAAAACAACAATATATCAAGCAAATAGCTTTTAAGGCTTTAGGGCTTTAGCGATAATGTTAAAAAACATTTGACAAAACTTAGAATTTTATCTATGAACAGTGCTTGATTTTAATTTTTTTTGTGTTTTATGAATCAAAATTGATTTTAATAACAATAAAAAAACATCCTGCTCAAAGTTCTACTTTCACCTCCCCGTGGTGAGCAGGGGAAACGGGTCTTATTCATTTAAAGGTTGTACTGTACACGCATATGTGGCTGGCTAACGAAAGAGACAATGTAGCGATAATGTATACTTTTTTATGTAGCGGTAATGTAAGGTTTTTAGCTCACCTGAGCCGAAGGCTCAAGTGAGCTTTTCTGATCACATTTTGTCCGTCGTCTGTCCGTCCGTCCGTCCGTCTGTCTAGCTGTCTGTCTGTCCGTCCGTCCGTCTGTAAACTTTTCACGTTTTCAACTTCTTCTCAAGAACCACTGGGCCAATTTTAACCAAACTTGGTTTAAAGCATCCATGGGTGAAGGGGAATTTAAATTGTAAAAATGAAGGGCCAAGTCCCCTCACAAGGGGAGATAATCAAGAAAAGACAAAAATAGGGTGGGGTCATTAAAAAATCTTCTTCTCAAGAACCACTGGGCCAGAAAAGCTGAAACTTATGTGGAAGCATCCTGGGGTAGTGTAGATTCTAAATTGTTCAAATCATGACCCCCGGGGGTTGGGCGGGGCCACAATGGGGAATCCAAGTTTTACATAGAAATATATAGGAAAAATCTTTTAAAATCTTCTTCTCAAGAACCACTGGGCCAGAAAAGCTGAAACTTACGTGGAAGCATCCTGGGGTAGTGTAGATACTAAATTGTTCAAATCATGACCCCCGGGGGTTGGGCGGGGCCACAATGGGGAATCCAAGTTTTACATAGAAATATATAGGAAAAATCTTTAAAAATCTTCTTATCAAGAACCACTGGGCCAGAAAAGCTGAAACTTATGTGGAAGCATCCTGGGGTAGTGTAGATTTCAAATTGTCTAAATTATGATTAGTGGGGTAGGGTGGGGTTACAATATGTATTACAAGGGGATAACCTGGTAAAGAACAGAATGGTCAAAGCTTCTCAGGTGAGCGATGTGGCCCTTGGGCCTCTTGTTTATAGTGGTAATGACTATGTAGCGGTAATGAAAATTTTGAAAATGTAGCGGTAATGATACGCACCCGTCCCAAACAAGAAAATCCGCATAATTATCTACCCGCGGATTAAACAGAAATTCAGATTCCGTGGAATTATGATCCCGTGGAAAAAAGTACATCTACAGTATTTTTATTGGGTCCTGGCTTGAAATATTCTTAGCGTTGTATTCAATGGGTTGCATTTTCTTTTTGAAAAATAAAAGCTTGAAAAAAAATTAATGTGAAGTTTGTAGAATGGTTGGTATCATTCCCTGTTGTCAATATTTTCGGTTATTAAAGGAAAGATGGAGGAAAAATATGTATCATGAAAAATAAATGCTCATCAGTACTAGTGTTGCTAACATGAAAAAAACAAATAACATGTCCACAACCATTTTGGACAGCCCTTTCACATTTCTTCTTTATAGTATATTTTCTCAAATTTGAAGACTTGGAGCATTGGGATGTTGTCTTTCCTTTTATCAAATTTTATTACCACAATAATACTAACTGTACAGGGTATAAACTTCATTTATGGATAGGCCATATTTCCCAAAAAGTGATCAATTTTGATTTTGTCATCATATAGGGATATTTTTCATATTTTTGTTCTCTTTTTATTTTCTCGTAAAAAAAAATTCTGTTCTCAGTCAGAATTGACTTTTAACAAATCATGTATTTTGGAGCTATTAGAATCTGTATAACATATTTTGTAGGCTTTGAATCAGACATAGAAGAAACACCAAGAACAAAGAAGTCCAAAAAAGAGAAAAGAAGTAAGTACTAAATATTCCTCTGTTTTTCTGTGGTCTAAAAGCATGATTTCAATAGAATAATGGTACATAATTATCTAATGAGAATATGCTCTTAAAGATATAGCATTTATGTGTTTGAAAATCAAAGATGACTTGTTGTGTTGCAGGAAAGAGTATGTCTTCCATTCCAAACATCCATCTACTGAGTCCATTTGAGCAGGCCCTCCTAAAGAGGAAGCCAATAATTGCACTGGATGGTAAGACACTATTATATAGACTATAAATCTAAGTCTTATATGAAATAATAACTGTAGAGTAAGTGGGATCATTATTTAACTTTGTTATTTTCGTTGATTAGGGTATATACCAAACTCTGTGATCAGAAAACAGCTGAGTTATCGTCCCCCCACCCCACCACAGCCACAGAAACGAAAGGATGTCTGGAGACCTAAACCAGTAAGTCAAATGTTATTGATTTGGACTTTGTATTATGAATTCAAAAATTATATGGATGTAGAAGTTACGGATATGTATATAGGAAGGGGCCAAAAATTTTGGAGACCAAAATGGAACTGTTTTGTCATAAGAACAATTTTTTATTGAAACAACCATTTACCATTGCTTTGTAGAAATAAAAGCAATTAATGCTATGATATGTAAGTTAAAAACTCTTTTGACAAGCTATCTGATTCTTTGCATGCAGGTTCCAAAGCCAATGCCAAAGAAAGAGGTGGAAGAAGAGGAAGTCATGGATTTATATGAGGTAACAATGTCACAGGATATTGTGTTATTGCGTCCGAGAGGTTTATACAGAGTATCAAAGTTACTTGCGATTTTATCTGAGGTGTACAGGTTCAAAAGGAAATTCAAAACAGCTGGAATTGTGTCAAAGATTTTACTTTCTTATGAAAAAGGGCCACTAGCTATCACAAGTTATAAGACCCGTAGAATAAAATAATATTTAGGGCTGGGCAATTGTACTTAATACTTTGGTTCTGAAATATTATTCATCAGAATGGTCGTATTAGCATTTGATAAGGATAGCCAGCATAGTATTTGACCAATCACCAAACTCTGGACAAAATCTTTTAAGAGATCCATTAAATACACTGATTAATTTTTTTTTGGGGGGGGGGGGGGGGAGATTAGAATTTATGGATGATCAAGTTGCCATACATATTGCTGAGGTGATTTTAGAAATTGATTAATTTGCTGGTTCAGTGTTGATACAGATATTTTCTGATGACTTAACTAGGATTAGTAATTCACTAAAGAAGTCAGTGTCAGAATTTGTATACAATTTTAGCACTGTACTGTAAATTTGTTAAAAATAGAAGCAGTTATTCTGGTGAGTGTTGTGATCCCTGAGCATCAAGTTGATGCATACTGTTAAGTTTGGCTAGTTTTCGTAGCTGGAAGTTGAGTTTAGATTTGATTGGCTAGTTTCTGTATCTGGCACACTTGTACAGGTTTGATTGGATAGCTACTGTAGCTGGCAGATTTTGTACACATTTGATTGGCTTGTTTCTATAGCTGGCACACTTGTACAAATTTGATTAGTTAGTTTCTGAAGCTGATAGATTTGTACACATTTGATTGGCTTGTTTCTATAGCTGGCACACTTGTACAAATTTGATTAGTTAGTTTCTGAAGCTGATAGATTTGTACACATTTGATTGGCTTGTTTCTATAGCTGGCCCGCAGGTACAGATTTGATGCAGGAGAGTCAGACAATGAAAGTGAGGCTGATGAACCAATAGTAGAACGTCCCTGTAACCGTGGCAGGAACAAAAAAAGCAAGAAGGTGAAGAAGAAGGTGGTAGATGACTGGAGTGATGGAAGCGATGATGACGATGAGGACGAAGAAGTCATCGATGACTTAATGGAGGATGACTCGGGCGTAGAAATGGCCGAGTCACTGGTAGGGAGTCAGTTCTCTCTGCTTGCTTCTGGCAAACCGCTTCAGGTAGATATGGTAGTTATGCTCTGACTCACCCGGTGAACCGTGTCCTGTCTGTGTCCACCACACGCTTGCTGCTTCTGTTGCCTGTGTTGTGTAGAACTGTTGGTGTTGTATTGTGTCCTACAAAGCACCTGTGCAATGTGATGTTGAATGGTGAACTAACTGTTTGTTTTATTTCTAACTTCTTGATTTCAGTTTGATTGTTTTATAATTACATGTACATTCATTATAAGGTAATTCTTCTTCATGCATTATGTTTATGCTAATCTCGCATTCTGTAATAAAACTGATATTGTGGGCTTCTTTGTTTCTTTGCCATTACATATATTATGTGTTGCATTATAAGGGAACTAACTCTTGCTTTCCTTACTCACAGTTTGATTTCTGTTCTAGTTATACAATTTCAGTGTGTTCTGATCTGTACCTGTTACACAGTGTAAAATTTATCCCAAGACTAACTCTTAAAAAAAAATGTATTCAACGTTTTAAAATAAGATTTATTGAGTAATTGAAATGATGATGATTTGATTAAATACTCTTGATCACAATGCTTTTCATGTAAACACACCCTTTGTTAAATTAAAAAAAAATGACATATCTGTACTTATGAGCAGAAGCCATTAGTGTGGGGAGAACCAGAGCCCAGCACAAAGAAGTCTATCCTCTCTCCATGGAAGAAGATGACATCTATGGTCCGTACGACGTCCAATCTGTCCTCCACCTCCTCCAAACGAGCATACAAACCTCCCAGTCACCGGTCAACACCCAACACTCCTACCAAATACGAACGTAAGTTGTTAAAATATATTTTCTAACAACATGTTCAATATTTAGTATACATGTATTAGAATTATGTGGGGATGAACTCCTAAAAAACCTTCCTCCTCTGAACAGTGAGGCCATGCTTAATACCCAAGTACTTATATAAATTCCTGTGTTTTAAAAAAAAATCCCAATGAAATGACAAAGGTTATATAAGGACTTCCTATTTGGTCACAAGAGCAATTTAATAATATATTAGACATCCCTTTTGGTAAAAAGAGATTGACCTGATTTTTTTTCAGCTACCGGAAATACATACAAATTGTGTAAAATATTTCTGTCATAAAAAATACTAATTATACATGTACATGTACGAGCAAATTATTTTTTCTACAGTTCCTAGCATTGTCAAGCACCAGCATCAACATCAGCATTTTGGTAAATTTAAGACTGTTATTGGTGTATTGTTTTTGTTGGTATTGTATATTGTCAGGCTAAAGCCGGCTTTGAATTTTTAGCTCACCTGAGTTTTTATGATCACATGACTGGCTTTCATCTCTTCATCATCTGTCTCTTAACTTTGAAGAATTTCAACTCCTCAAGAACCACTGGCAATTTTGTAATAAAGCATCCTTAATTGGGTGGAGGGGATTCAAGTTTGTACAAATGAAGGGCCATTCTCTCTTTCAATGGGAGATAATTAACACTCAACGTAATGTAATTTTAATAGAATCTGTAAAAAACCTTCTTTTAAGGATATCCGATCCTCAGATAGGAAAGATAACTCCAAAAATTAATATTTATTTTAAAAAGCATCAATATGAGGCTTGAAAAAAAACTTTTTGTGCAATAATTTTCATTTTATTCATCTTTATATTATGGAAGGTTTATGGAAGTCTTTGAAAAGGTCTTTAAAAAGTTTACATTTGTACCCCCATTTTCCAATCTACTGAAGATCATTGTGAAACAACCAATTCATAAAATATTTATACCCCATAAAAGGAAAAGAATAGATACAGTTTTAGAGATGTCAGAGTTTCTTGAATAGAGCCTTAGATACCAATGCTTATCAGCATGATGTGAAATTAGAAGAGATTTGTGATGTCTTGAAATGATAGCACAGCATTTTACACGATGAATAATTGTATAAAGCATGAAGAAAATAGAAGACCTGGAATACCAAATAGGTATAATATTCATGACAATTTCTCTGAATGCCTGGATACCTATTGTTTTTTAACCTAAAATATATTTATTGATCAATTTGCAATTAGAAAATGTCTAACTGGTATTCCTATTCGCTTTTTTGAATATATATTGAAAATTTTCCCTACATACATACATTATGATAAACATTCATGTTTAACTTTAAATAAATACCGTGGGTAAATGTACATTACATTGTGGATTCAGAGATGTTATTATGAGTATTTTTGATTACTTAACTGCTAATTTTATGAACCTGAGGATCGGACTACCTTAAAAAAGGCTTAGCCAAAAAACATAAAAGGATATTTAAAATTATGTCCCCAGAAGATAGGGTGGGGCCACAATGGGTGATCAATGTTTTACATAGGAAAATATAAAAATGGGGGGGGGTGCTGATGAAGAACAGCAGGGCTATAGTGGCTCATGTTGTGTATTGTGGTTCATGGACTTTTGTTTCTCATTGGAAACAGTTAACACAAAAGCATCACTTGATTCTATTTTACACAATTATGTTCTTAGGAGATCATTTCACTTCACATCACACAGTCAGTATTTTGGTGCCTAAATCTAAGATATGCAATTTCAGTTATTTAAAAATTGTTTACTCAGTTTTAAAAGATAAAAAAATTTGCATATAATTGAAAATTATTTGGAAGAGACACATTGAATGTTTTTTTGTGCTTTGCATGCCATATTTGTAATGCTTAGGTTTTTCCAAATCAGTATATAAGTGAGTCTTTTGATTTTGTATTGCATTTTGTCTGTATGTAAAGCTTTCCAACACATTTATACATGTTGCAAATCACAAATTTAAGTTAGATATTTAATTGGTTAACAAACTTGGTTTTGACGGAGGAAAAAAAGTAGTTAAACAGAATTTAAAATGGTATTTATTCAGTAGCATTAAACATATAAAGAAAACAAAAAAAAATTGTCTTTTTAAGAATTTCATAAGAAAAAGCAATTCATTGTGGAAAAAAAATGGCTGTGATTGATTTTTTTTCTGAATGCATATATTTTTCAGTGAAGTCCAAGGCGTTTGACTTTGGGAATGTTTTTGATATCAAAGGACCCCACCCTAAATCAGGGGGCCCAGGGAGTCGTGAGAGGACCAAGTCCTTCAGACTGTCAAACATGGTGGTCGACGAAGACTCCACTGATGTCAGATTTAAGGTGAGGGTTATTCAAATTAAATAAGTGCATGTACCCTATAGCTTTTAAATCTAGCTTCTATATAAAAGGCAAGAGAGTCAATCTCAGAAACTGTTATTTTTTGCCCAAGTGCATGGCTGTTTGTATAGAATGTTCTTTCCTTTATAAAATGTTTGCATTAGGCCAAAATAAAAAATACCTTTGTTTCCCCTAACGTGACCGACCCAATTAAAACATGCCGACTGAAAAGTTTTTTTGCCAAGATCATTCAGATTTTTTTTTTTTAGTTTATCAACTTTTACAAAATACAATTTCATCAAAATGCGTTTTTATTAGAATGGCCGATTTTGTTCTGCTGTGTTTTTCAAGCATTTGTTGGAAACAAAACAGTGCCCGCTGATTTTGTTCTGCTGTGCTTTTCAAGCATTTGTTGGAAACAAAACAGTGCCCACAACCACATGCAATCACAGAGTAATTTGTGTTATAAAACAACGGAGACGTATCAACCTTATGCCTTTAGCTTATTAGAATCCTACACTCTTGAACCATTTTGTTAATAAAATATATAGCTAATTTAAAAGTTAAAAGTATTTCGGTGGTTTTTAGCTCTTCTGGTCAGAGACCAGCAGAGCTTATGCGATGGTAATGGCTCCGTTGTCCGTCCGTCTGTCTGTAAAAAAATTTTGACAATTTTCTCCTACAGTTTTGGTCTGATTTCAATATAATTTGGCACATAAGTAGACTACACTAAGATACATAATTCTCTATACCAGTTTTTGATTTCGATGAACAGTGTTGCCGTGGTTACTAAAATAGAATTTTCTATGAAATACTTTTAAAATGCTACTCCTACAGTTTTGGTTTGATTTCAATATATAAGTTGGCACACAAGTAGACTACACTGAGAGACACGATGATCAGATTTGTGTTTTTTGTTTTTGATGAACGATGTTGCCATGGTTACTAAAATTGAAAATTCTGTAAAATTTTATTAAAAGCTACTCCTTCAGTTGTAGTCTTATTACAATCTTGCCACAAAAAGAGACTTAATAAAGGATCATTATTCTGTTTATTGCTTATGTAAAATTTTATGTCCCAACTGCTACTTTTCTCTTCCGTTATTAGAAGTACAAACCAGTAGAGCTACAGTCTCGACAGAGACTTCTGGTTATCAACTTGTCTTTTAAAATCAAGGAACGGATTAAGCATGGTAAGGCCTGTCTCATTAGCAGACAAGCTAGGGGCTGCAAATTTACACCTATACTCACACTCTCAGGGCCATTGAGCAGTGAAGGATCTTTTTAGTGCCGCCAACACCTTCTGTGACATGGAACCTTGGTTTACCGTCTTTGCGTCCTGCAATGGATTTGAATATGGGGCCTCGGTTAATAAGGTCTCACCCGAAGGTCCCGTAGTGGATTTGAACCCGAGACGTAAGGATCAGCTCCCTACTTCTCGACTCTAGAGCAGACGCTCTAACCACTGCGCCATGCTGGCGAACACAGTTTAAGTGTATTTTTCTTCACTTTGGTTCTTGAAGTTTTGTTGCTTCTTTAAATTGCTTAAAACTTTTGAGAATTGTTGGGATGACAACATCTGATCATTTGCCAGGTGAAGGGCTCCAATCTTAGACTTACAAGTACTCTGCAATATTTACATGTACCACTGAGCAGTGAGGGGTCTCTTGTGCCAGCATATATTTCGACACTGTATGGACCTAAGTTTTTACGGTCAATGCTATTTACTTTATTGTCCGAAGATCCCCAATGTGTGATAATTTACTCTATTTAATTTCAATAAATTTACACTGGCGTGAGCTACTTCACAAGCTCAAATGAATGATATTTATGAATTTATTTATCTTAAATTTTGCTTTTAAACGACATTGGTACACTGTATGATATGCTGTTTAAATTTTTTTTATGTACTTTTCTTATTTATAAAGGTATTATTCTATAAATTTCACAGTGAATTTTCAAAGTTGCTGTCAGAAAAAAAAAATTATTTACCTACTACCTACCCAACTTGAGAATTTAGGGTCGGTTTAGGGGAAACAAAGATATTTTTGATGATGGCTTTATACACTTTGTTTAATTTTTGAATTTACAATAAAAACAAACGTCAAAATTGAGGGCTATAATGAGTTTTGACTCTATGCAGTTTATGATTTAATATGCTGTGAATGCCATTGATTAGGAAGATAAATGCTGATTGTAATAATGAAAATTTAAAATCAATGGGAATAATTGTAGGAGAAGGAAAACAGGAAGAAGGTGATACAGGTCAATGATATGGAGGTGATGCACAAACTGATGAAGGAGGACTTTTTCCGTGATCTGAAGGGGACTCCGTCGTACGAGTCGATTCTCCAGCAGCTACTGACCATGCTGGACACAGACGACGCGGACCTCCACGGAAAAGTCTGTAACTACATCCTGGAAATCCATGAGTAAGTACAAACGTGTTGGGTGAAATTATACCCCAAAAAATAAAATTACAAAGTTTGCCCTAGGTTTTTCTTGCATCTTTAACTTCCATTTTAATTTCTGAAAATGTCACTGTAGCATACTGAAATTTGGGTTATATTATAAAATTGAAAAAGGAGATGGAATTCATGAAATGAACATAAAAAGAACAGAACATAAAGAGGGGTGTATTTTTTTTTTAAGGAAATTAATTTCAAATTTTCCACATTTCAGAGATGTTGGTATATCAGATGTGTACCTAGACAGGATTATCAATAAACTATCCAATCAGCTGACTTCAGGGAATATCCAAACATCCATACGGAAAAATGGCCTGTCTGCTTTATCAGTCATCGGAAAGAGTCGACAGGATGTCGTAGCTACCATTCTACCCCGACTCATCGACAGTTCGGTAATTAACTACAGTTTACCTAAAGACTGACTTAAACGAATTCTGTAAATCAATATGTAATTCCTCTACTTCCAATGTAATCAGTATAATCAATGAAGATATTGGATTTTCGACAGAGAAATTACTATGCATCTTTGTAAGACTGTAGAGGTAGAGCAGATTGTACCTTAGATGAGAAGACATTGTGCTTGAAAACCCTGTGTTCTGGGCTCTAATTTTGTAATCCCAACTTAAATAACACCCAGCTTTAGAATTATCAGGTCAAAATCAATATTTGGACAGATTCATGGTACATGTATTATGCTAAAACTTTTATTTCTGTATCGAACTTTATAAGTAATTGGGAAAACTGTGTATTCTACTTTTTATCTTCCACTGTAAGTATTTTTTTATTTCATTGTCTTCATATTTAACCACTGAGAGTAGTGAATCGTCAGTTCAGAGGATAAAATTTTAAAAACCTGTTAAAGATTCAATACATCTTTTATTAGAATCAGTCTTCATGGTGCTTCATGATAAATGTTTTTTCCCAACGGAAGAAAATCTTTATTAGTTAAAATATTAAAACCATTTGTCAAAATACTTCACATATAAGAGATTTAAATACTTAAAGAATACAGAAATTTTTATCTTTTATTGGTATATTAAAGAGATGAATTGTTGTAATAAAACCATTGGTAAACAATAAATTTTTAAGACATTCATGGATTTAAAGTAATTCCTAGGTGATTTATTTTAAGGATGATCACAGGGACAATGGAAAGTTAGGAATAGTAGAAAGTCCACTGTCTTCTTTTCTGTTGAAGATTTTATCAACTGCTGTGAAACTTGTGAATTCATTTCTATTAATGTATAAATGGTGATATATGATTAACTATAATCTAGCATTGAAACCTTAACTAGGAAAGATTCAGTTTTTATGCCTTTGGTTAAAAGATTTTAAATTAATTTTTGTTTGAATTATCTGAGACGTCTTCCTTTATCCGACCGCAGACTGACATCCGAGAGGAAGCCGCGGAGGCCTTAGCAGCTCTCACAGGAGTGACGAACAAGACAGAGTTGTGGAACTTGATGGAGGAGATGGGCCTCCAGAAGACGTACAGCAGTAAGGAGGATGAGGAGGAGGCGCTGAAGGCCCTCGCGATGAGGCTGGACGTCCCCTACCGCCCGGACAGCTTCACTGACTGGATCGGGGACTGGATGGATGATATGCAGAGTCCCGCCATGTACGACGTGGAAGATGATCTACAGGTGAGTGAAACGGACTTAAGATATTAGATATTATTTAGTTAAAGATAGTGTAAAAGATTTTTTTTAAAAAGGGGGGGGTCATGAAAAGTAGGAAATCATTTAATGGGCTTCATTAAAAAAATTGCATTTGTTACAAGGGGTATTTACGAGTCTGGATATGAGAAACTTTACTGATACAATTACATTACTTTATTGTTTAAAATTCTGTCTAATATCAATATATTAAGAGCACCTGTTGGTAGTCAGGTATCTTATTATGAATTTAGAAGGATATTTTTGAATGAAATGTATCAACTGATGTATTATTATAATTTTTCTTGTACAGCTGAATGATATAGAGAAGGCCTGGGGTGGCAGAGAGAAGAGATGGAAACCTGAGTCCTTATACTTATCAGAATCTGTCAGCAGAGCTTCCAACCGACTCAAAGAGTTGTCCTTTATATCTGATAAATCTCGTAAGTTAATGTTGAGCAGTTGCTTAGCAAGAAAGACAACTCTTCACATTTTGTCTTTTTACTTGGTATCCTTCATGTTGTAAAAGTAAAATTTTAGATAAAAAAGTATTTAAAAATAAGTTCTTAATAAGGGTTAAGTCTTATTCATTGAAGCCCATAAAAAATGCAGATATGAGGATAGGAATTTTAGACAGACATGAAAAATTTTTGTCAGGTGTGAGCTTTTAATTACCTGAGAATGAGTAGGGTATGCATCTGATGATAACTATGATTACAGTATTAGAGGAGGACAGGCTAAGTTTTCTAAGCTTCCAAAGTGAGGCTGAGGAGGACTCCCTCAGTGATATATCAGAAATGGAGGAGAACACAAATCCCTCCCTGGAACAACCCCCGGGGCACCTGCCAGGTGGTATTGGTGGGATCGAGCTGTGTGTAGGGAACCAGGTCTTAAGGATTCCAGAAAAACTCAGTCAGCTGCTCCAAGATACAGATCCTAAAGGCTTGTTCTCCCACATACAAAATCCAGGTACCGAGGAGTACACCAATCAGATGGCTGTGATAGAGCAGATACTGAGGGAGAATCCGGACTTCAGTCTCAGTGACCTGGAGTTTGACAGTGATCTCTCTGGTTTGACTGGGGCTGAGACTCAGGAGGAGCAAATGAGGACTGAGGATAGTCAAATGAGAACACAGGAGGGTCAAGTTAGGAGCCAGGTGGGGTATTCCTCACTACAGAATAAACTGAATGATAACAAGGAGTGGCAGAATGTAGAGAATGCCGGGGGCACCCAAGAACAGGGAGTCCAAGTGGGAAACAATTTAGAATTGACTTATGAGGAGGAAGACAGGAATCTGCAGAAGGAGGAGCGGTCAGTTGACGGTCAGGATGGGAAGGATCTTGGTAGTTATTTCACTGAATTCCAAGCCTCTGCTTCTGACAAATGCCTTACCATGCTGGATTGGAGCATATGTTTTTTTAAGCAAGTAACCTGTTGCATGAGATAATCCTACTCATTGTTCCAGTGGTGGATCTTGAAGTTGTTACATGGTTTGAAGCTTCTGCCTTTTATCTGACTTACCATTGACCAGGTGTCCAGTGCCAAGTAACTTACATCTGTGTATGGCCAGAACTGATTGATTGACTGCATGCATTTAGTTTTATAGAAAACAATACTGATTGACATCAGTGTGACTTCGCTGCTCTCTAACACAATTTGTTCTTTTGTGCTTTTACTCTTCATTTTAAGTCACTGACTTTGGTTGTTGATATTTGTTTGTTTGTAAACTTGCATGATATATGTCAGGAGAAACCTTTTAATCCTTAGTGTCATAAGTATGGCATATAGAGAGTGCCTCTTTCTTAATTCTAAAATTTTTCTTTCATCAATATTCCTTGTCTTTGGTCATCACATATTAATGAAACACACAGAATGACAAATATCCTTTAGATTAATGAACCTATTTCCTACATCAAAAGATTTATTTGTATTTCAATTTTTAGACAGAGAATGTTTTATGCTACCTTCAGTATTAACTTTGTATTTTAGGTGGTTGGACCCCAGGGACCACAACCAGAACTAGAATGGATTTCAGGAATGAACTGGAGTGAGTATTGATAAAGACATGAGCACACAATTCATAGCTTACTGGTCGTAAGGTTTAACTAGAGGATTAAAAGTTAGAAAATTAGAGCATGCCAAGGTACCCATAGATATACCATAGACTTCTTTGTTTAGGATAGGTAAAAAAAACATCTGTGCAGTTTGCTTGATTTAAAAAATGAAAAGTTTGTGGTGGATATTTATACATTTACCTTGTGGTTATCCTCTTCTGTCAGAAAGGTCTGTCTAAGATGAGTTAAGATGCTGCATCTTTTTATTTCAAAAATATTTGTCAAGCTTATTTAGGCAATATATAACTTAAAGTTTTGGTTTTGATTTTTAATCTAAGGATAAAATTAAACTTAAAATTTAGGTTTATTAGTGATTTTATACACATATTAATTATGTTATATTGTTCAAAGGTTGCCAGATTTATGTTCGTGTTTTAAGAAAAAAAATTGTCAAAAACCAAGCTAGATTACATATTTGGCATTTATTTTGGTAATGTGAAACTAATCTATATCTCTTTAAAGTGTTTTTTTTAAGACAGTAGATAAGACTGTGCATTTCACTCGAGAGACGCAGAATTTAAAATCACAATGAATATTTATAAACTATTTTGCTTTCATTGTTCTTATTAAATGTCCTCATAGCCCTCATTAGGTCACTGTAATAATCAAAGATCTACTGATCATTGATAAACACTGGCCCCATAACTTGTATGTAAGTATATAACAATTGTTTAAAATTCATTTAATATGTTAAAGAAATTCATTAAAACTAAGTTTTAGTGAAATGTATGATTATTTTAAATTGACATAAAAATAATAATTATTATGTAATAGTCATTGTAAATATTACTTTGTCATTGAACTGTTTGTCCGGGCTAACTTCTCACCAGCGTAATTATTATTAAACCTTGTTTAGTGTAGTTCTCATGTTAAAGGGTTTTGTTAAGGAGAAGCTGTCATTGTTTGGGTTGATTTTATCACAACATAACATTGAAATTCAAATTTGAATCTTTGTTACATTTTCAAATGATTCTAGATTAGATATTGTCAGCATCACCATAAGAATTATATACAACAAAGACTAAGTAATGTAAACAAAAATCGAATAAACTAGCTAAACTTAAAGATAAGTCAGAACAGAATTTAGTTGAATTCTAATAAAGTTTTTTTTTTTATGAATAATATTTATCAGCATTTAATATGCCTAATGATTTTGCAAATAATTTAATAGTAGGCTTTGGAATATTGTCCTTGCTGATGATATCCTTCAATTAGAGGCCTGAAGGACAATAAATCTCAGAGAGATCAGCTGTTTAAAGCGACGCCCCCTTCACCTTCCCTTTGTTGCTCGGACAGAAGTGTGCCAAGGATTTGGGGAAGAAATTTAAAGGATTATCTTTACCGTTAGAAATCTGACACAATATCAACATAATGGCTCTCTGATTGTCACATCTATTTGTCTTGGTGTATGTAACACGTTTTAGAGAGGTTAACGGAATAAAAAAGTATTTTGATTAGCCCACTTTTACTGATTTTGAGTAAATTTGTAGGACCAATACTTTCTTAAATCTGATAAAAGTATTTCTTTCACTCTTGTTTTCTCTTAGAACTTAAAACCACTGCGAAAATAAAAATCCTGATGCTATCTGTAAAAATAAGACTAAATCCTATACCCCATATGTAACATTACACACGGCAGACCAGAGGCCACCCCAAGAGTGGCCCCTATTACGTATTTACACAGATGTATTACTCCGATTGACAATGTCTTCAAAGCGTGTGGATTTAAACTGTGGGATTTGTTAGTCTTATGGTCTAGGAGTGATCTATGAGGGGTGATGATTGGGTTCTGATGGTATATGAGTGAGTTATGAGGGGTGATGATCGGTATTTTACGAGGATTAAGACAGGTGGGAAAGATGGATGGTAAAGAGGAGGAGGAGGAATATTTACCTGTGTTTTTTGTTAAAATGTGAGTTTTATTGGCAAGGGTCAAAGAAGTGTTTAATGCTTGTATTCTAAAAAATATTTTTGAATCTGTTTATCAGATGGACAACAGGATATTTTTTTTTCATTTTTACATGGATTGATTAGTTTGGTATAAATTTTTGTGTATTTGAATTAAAGTTTAGTCTTGTTATTTATCAATATTCAAAAAACTTTGATTCTTTATTTAGCATTTTTATGAGAAGTATCCCATTTGCACTTTAAACACTTTAAATGAAGCTATACAGAGTACTTATTTAACCAAGGCACTGTGCAATAAATGTGTTAATTTTTTTTCTCTTCAAGAAATGTGGTGGTTAATATGTGTTTCATTAAAGAAATACATATGTATTTAAATACTATGAAATCAATAATTTTCGTGGGTGTTTAATTTTATATGTTTTTTGAGATATTGAGAGACCCATAAATTTCTAACCACAACGAAATGAAAATCTCATATGCAGTACTACTATACATTTTCCGACCAAATCAAATCCCCACAAACCATTTTAAAATATTTTACAGTATGTGCATTTTCCTCATCAGAATTGTCCCATCAGAAATATACATACTGAAATTAAGGGTGATTTTAAATTCTCTGTTCTGTGTTCTTGCACACCTAATATTAATTTTTTTTATGCCCCCCTTCAAAGAAGGGAGGGCATATTGCTTTGCTGCTGTCTGTTGGTCTGTTGGTCCACTTAGTTTCCGTTCATTTTCTTCGCAACCGTTGCACATATGAAATGAAATTTGGTATACTGATAAATTACATGAATATCTAGATCAAGTTCTGTTTTGGGTACAATTGCGCCATTTTTGACAGAGTTATGCCCCTTGGACTTAGAAAAATTTCAATTATTTGCAGTTTCTGTTCACTTTCTTCGCAACCGTTGCACATACTGAAATGAAATTTAGCCTACAGATTTATCAGAGGTATATCTAGGTCAAGTTCTGTTTTGGGTATGATCACACCATTTTTAACAGAGTTATGTCTCTTGGACTTAGAAAAATTCCAATTATTTGCAGTTTCTGGTCATTTTCTTTGCAGAGATTGCACATACTGAAAAGAAATACATGTAATTCAGTATACAGATTTATCATAAAATATCTTGGTCAAGTTCTGTTTTGGGTACAATCTCGCCATTTTTGACAGATTTATGCCCTTTTGGATATAGAAAAATTCCAATTTGGGGGGAGGGGGGCATAAGTGTTTTACAAACATCTCTTGTTTTATTTAGAAACTTGAAAGAATCTGTGGACGGCCAAGGCCCCCAGTCACCAAGAAGAATCAGCCGCGGAAGGTAACGTTATGTTTGAGTCTCAAAAAGAACATAATAATACTTATACAATATCAGAGGAATGATAATATGATATTAAATATATTTTTGTCATGCATAAGAATTCACAAACAATGTAAATTACAATAATATTCCATTTTGAATGGTAGACTAATAATCAAAATTATATGTTTAAAATTTAAGTTTTAAAAAAGTTTGAAAGCTTTTCTCTAATTAGGGTTTTATAAATTTGAACAGTTTTGAATTTCAATATAACTTGGCACACAATTAGACTACACTAAGATACATAATTCTGTGTAATTTCGAAACGGTGTTGCCGTGGTTACTAAAAATTTCTGTGAAATTCTTTAAAATGCTTTCCTACAGTTTTGGTCTGATTTCAGTATAACTTGGCACACATTTAAGATACATAATTCTGTATATCGGTTTTTGATTTCGATGAACGGTGTTGCCGTGGTTACTAAAAATAGAAATTTCTGTGAAATTCTTTCAAAATGCTACTCCTCCTACAGTTTTGGTCTGATTTCAGTATAACTTGGCACACAAGTAGAATACACTAAGATACATAAATCTGTGTATCGGTTTTTGATTTTGATGAACGGTGTTGCCGTGGTTACTAAAAATAGAAATATCTGTAAAATTGTTTCAAAATGCTACTTCTTCTACAGTTTTGGTCTGATTTCAGTATAACTTGGCACACAAGTAGACTACACTAAGATACATAATTCTGTGTATTGGTTTTTGATTTCGATGAATGGTGTTGCCGTGGTTACAAAAATAGAAATTTCTGTGAAATTCTTTCAAAATGCTACACAGTTTTGGTCTGATTTCAGTATAACTTGGCACACAAGTAGAATACACTAAGATACATAATTCTGTGTATCGGTTTTTGATTTCGGTGAACGGTGTTGCCGTGGTTACTAAAAATAAAAATTTCTGTGAAATTCTTTCAAAATGCTACTCCTCCTACAGTTTTGGTCTGATTTCAGTATAACTTAGCACACAAGTAGAATACACTAAGATACATAATTCTCTGTATTGGTTTTTGATTTTGATGAACGGTGTTGCCGTGGTTAGTAGAAATTTCTGTGAAATTCTTTCAAAATGCTACTCCTCCTACAGTTTTGGTCTGATTTCAGTATAACTTGGCACACAAGTAGAATACACTAAGATACATAATTCTGTGTATCGAATTTTTATTTTAATTTTGATGAACGGTGTTGCCGTGGTTACTAAAAATAGAAATGACTGTAAAATTGTTTCAAAATGCTACTCCTCCTACAGTTTTGGTCTGATTTCAATATAACTTGGCACACAAGTAGACTACACTAAGGAGTAAGAACATAAAGAGACTTTATCAACGATCATTATTCTATTTATTGCTGTTGTAAAATTTCAAATCCCAGCTGCTTAAGTACTTTTCTTTTCCTTTGCTATAAGTTCAAACCAGTAGAGCTTCAGTCTCGACAGAGACTTCTGGTTAAAAAGGGAATCTTTATTTTATTACCAAATTTAGTGTATGTCCTCAAAACATGATTACTTTGACAATGTGGAAACATTGACATCCCTCTCCTCTTTGTTAGCTAGCAAAGTTCAATACAAGTAGGTAGTCAAAGTTTCCACTCAGGAAACGTCTCAAATAGGAAAGCTGTCAAACATTCATTCAAAGTCTTCAATATAATAATTAAATGTACAGTAGTTAATCCAGATTTTGATACAAGCATTCACTGAATCATCAGAATGTTACAGCCAAATGACACTGCAGTCTTGCTTATAAACATATACTCTAAAAATTAATTTTTCATGTATTATATACATATACTCTATAATAGATTTTTTTGAAAAGAAATGGAATGAAAAAGATTGCTAATTAAATATTGGTTTTTGTTAATGAAAAAAGATGATTACTTTGTGAAATTTGAGCAGAATTCTCAGGTTTGGTTGGAGAAAGAGGTGTTTGCCCACTTAAATTAGAATAGAGTGTTTCCAAGCATAAGCCTAGAGGCTGATTCAATGATTGTAACCATTATACTGTATTTAAAACTTCATCTAGAGTTAGAAACATGTAAGTACTGTTTACCTACATGTCTGAATCAATGACACCATATAGGGGTACATTGATAGGGGATTTGTTAAATTGATATATGATCTCGTTAATCTACACAGGTCTGACAAAGAAGACACAATCTCCACTCAGAATGATGGGTAAAGTCTGCTCTTATAGAAGTAGCCCATGTTTCTTACTGCTTTTTTATTAACTATCTGCAATTCTTCTTGCTATAAACTGGTTTTTACCTCAAGCTATGTGTGTATAAAAGAAAGTTTAGATAGCCCCCCTTGTACATCACCGCTTCCCTTGTAATGTTTTACAAGATTTATGTGTATAGATACACAATCCATTAAATGTATCAATTTAAAGTGTTTAAATTTAACAATACTTGTATTGATGATCAGATTACAATGTTAAGTAAAAATCAATTTTACCTTTTAACACCTTTGATTGATTTGTAACAAAAATTAGGTTTACCTAAATTTCCTTTCACAATTTCTAACTTCTTGTTTTGTTCTCCAAATTTGAATAGTGGGAAAAGTTCAGAATAGAACACTGTTTTCCAAAGCTAGCTAAACATAATCTTAATTCCTTAGCTTAGTCATCTAACTATTTACCTTGCCTAATTACTTTCTACTTCAACTAATTTATTTAGGTATATATGTTACAATTAATCTGAGTGTAGTAGTTGTGGTATTTATATTATTTAACAGATTTTCTTTGTATTTGACCAAAAGCCTTCTCTCATAGCATCAAACTTTAACTCAAACATTAACCATTAGTATATAGGCCTATGTATATCTTTTATTTCATAGCTCTGGTCACAGTTACAATTCAGAAATGGAGGACTGGTAAACATTGATACAAAAATCACACACACTTGAAAAGAAAAAAAATGCACTTTTGTTTGAGGGGATATGGTGCATTATGATTTACTTTGTAATCTTCACAATTCTCTAGTTCACCTCTTTTCCCGTTCAATTTTTAATTCACTTTCAACTCAAGGGGACAACAAAGCAATTTATCGGCGGGGAGGTAATTTAGACAAAAACCTTGCATGGGTATACTAGACCCTCTAACCCAAATTTAATTTTAGTCTTGTATTTTCTCTAACTACTCAATGATTCAATTAATTCACCTCTTTGCTTTTTTTTATCAAAAAAATGCACTAGTTATTGATCATTAACTCTGCTGTATTTGTGTGGAATGACCAAAGCAGAGGGGAATAATATACTTAATTACTGTAGCTCATATTTCATCTTTTATGAAGCTAAATCTGAAATATGTATATTATGTAAGTGCTTTTGTCTCAATATCTAAGTACTTATAATCATAAAAATCAAACACAAAATCAGTTCCATTTAGATATATTTTTTTGCCTTAGCTTTCTGAGATTATACTTTTTTTAATACCTACCGATACCTGAATATTTTTGTTCTTGTTTTATTGTGAAATGATCTTATATGAAGCTAATTTAATTGGTTTTTTTTAGGTTTGACCCCCGTGACCCTCACCTGCATAGGTACTACAGGAACCAGTACAAGAGACCGGGCAGTGGTAGGCCCAGTAAGTACTCAGTACTAGAGTACTAATGTCTCATCAGTAACATTATTTTCATTATGTTTTTATTAAAATTCGTACAAGAAATCAAGAGATGCTTCTCATAATACCTTTCTATTTGAAAAGAAATAGCAATTATTGAAATATAATTAAATATCAATGAACATATTAAATGATACCACTGTGTGGCAGATTACATAGCTTATTATAATTCTATTATGTGAACCATTATTTCTGCAGTTGTTGGGAAGCGAGGAGGAGCTCTTGATCGGTTTGGAAGACTTGGAGATGTTTCTGATGTTGATGGTCACCTGAGGTCTCAGGGAGAGTTAGATTCCAGTATCACTCAGGTAAATAAACCACTATCAGTATCTCTCAGGTCAGTAAACCAATATCAGTATCACTCAGGTAAATAAACCACTGTCAGTATCTCTTAGGTAATTATTTACCACTACCAGTATCACTCAGGTAATTATTCTACCACTATCAGTATCTCTTAGGTAATTATTTACCACTATCAGTATCACTTAGGTAATTATTTACCACTCTCAAGTTTATTTGGGCGACAATCGATTATGAAAAACATCTCTTCAGTATCATCACTAATTGTAATTAGTCGGCTACCACTATCAGTATCAATCAGGTAATTATTCTACCACTATCAGTATCTCTTAGGTAATTTTTTTTACCACTATCAGTATCACTTAGGTAATTATTTACCACTATTAGTATCTCTTAGGTAATTATTTACCACTATTAGTATCACTTAGCTAATTATTTACCACTATCAGTATCACTTAGGTAATTATTTACCACTATCAGTATCTCTTAGGTAATTATTCTACCACTATCAGTATCAATCAGGTAATTATTCTACCACTATCAGTATCTCTTAGGTATTTTTTTTACCACTATCAGTATCACTTAGGTAATTATTTACCACTATCAGTATCTCTTAGGTAATTATTTACCACTGTTAGTATCACTTAGCTAATTATTTACCACTATCACTGTCACACAGGTTTTTATTGACCATTGTCAGTATCATGGGAAATTATTGACTTCTGTCACTCAGGTAATTTTTTTATCACCTTCAGTAGATAATGATTACATTTATTACTGTCCAAAATAAGGAATTCTACAGTAATTATTATATCGGTCAATGAAACAATGGTAACTGTTGCTCTGTGTAGTAGCTTGGCCTTTGGTAAATCAGCTTGATAATGCCTGTTTTGCAAGGAGTGTTGGGGTGGTCCACATAGATTGTGCTATTAGTATGCATCAGAATTATTTTTTCTTACAAATTTAGTATGTTTATTTAATGAAGAAAGTCTGTTTTTCAGCCTGAGGACATTACTACAGATTCTATGAGTGGTCAGGACTCTGGTATTGGGGGAGAACTCTCTGTGTCTACCACCTCAAGGTCAAGTAAAGGTCAACTGGTCAGTTCCCATCCCTCCTTTTTATCTACTGAGAGAAGTCAAGGACATTCAAGCAAAGGTACAAGCTGAATCTTTTTAGCTCACCTGGGCCGCAGGCTCATTAACTTTTCACATTTTCATTTTCTTCTCAAGAACCACTGAGCTTAAAGCAGGGATTCTGTAAATTACAATTACTTTGACTTTTTCTTCAATTTAATTACAATTAAATTACAGTTTCCATTAATTAATTAAATTACAATTACTTTGTAATTAATTAAATTACAAATTACATTTTTAATTTTTGATTTTTTTTCCCTTGTTGTTGTCGTTGTTGTTGTCGTGTGTCTTTGTGGTTTGAACTTTTCACATTTTCATCTTCTTCTCAGAACCACTAAACCAAATTCAACCAAACTTGCTACAAAGTATCCTTAGGTTAAAATAATTATCAAATTGAAAGGATTCAAGTTTTTTTGAAATAATTATCTCCATTGGCTTTGTCTTCTAAGGGCATGTTTTGATTGCAATTTATAGTTGTGAGGGCAATTTCCCAAGGGGAGATAATTATGACACACACATAGAGAAAAATTAATGGCATTTTAAAAAAATCTTCTTCTTTTACAAGAACCACTGGGCCAGAAAAGATGAAAGTCATGTGGAATCATCCTCAGGTAGTATAGATTCAAATTTGTTCAAATCATGACCCCCGGGGGTAGGATGGGGCCAAAATGACGGATCAAAGTTTTACATAGGAGTATATAGGAAAAATCTTTAAAAACCTTCTTCTCAAGAACCACTGGGCAAGGAAAGATGTAACTCATGTGGAATCATCCTCAGGTAGTGTAGATTCAAGTTTGTTCAAATCATGACCCCTGGGGGTAAAGTGGGGCCAAAATGGCTGATCAAAGTTTTACATAGAAAACTATAGGGAAACCTTTTAAAATCTTCTTTTCAAGTACTTCAAAGCCATTATTAGTGATATTTATATGGAATCATCCTCAGGTACTGTAGATTCTAGTTTGTTCAAATTATGACTGCCTGGGGGGTTAAAATTCAAGCCCACCCCAACCTCAGTAAACTTTTAGTTCTGATATGTGCTTTTTCCCAGCCGATGTGCTCAGGTGAGTGATGTGGTCCCTGGGCCTCTTGTTTATTTATTTCCCATCTTCATACATTTTACATGCTCTTTTTATAATTATTTTTCTTTTTACAACATACCACATATCATCCTCTTTTTGGTGAGCAGTGTTTACTCTTTAGTCTAAATAGTTTTATTGACTTGATTTGTTACAGGGGTTGGTAGGAAGCGTTCCAAGCTGTCTGATTGGAGCAGAACACAGCTGTCTCCAGTGAAATCCAGCAGTTCTCTACACAAGTCGGCCATGTCTACACCTAGATTCAGTACGTTCATTTAACTCTTCATTCTCACTTCTGTTGCTTTACTCAAGTTAAAAATGGAAACCTATAATGTGAAATGTAAAGTAAATCAAACAAAATACATGTAAATGATGTACATGTCATAAAATATGCATATGATTTGGGGATGTGATTGGCAATGGCAAAAGATTGTATTTTGTAAATTGAAGAAAATTGGATGATTCTGTGATATGAATGAAGATATAGATTACAACATATGTCCTGTCTATTTTTCAGGCAGAGATTGGCAGAAATTTTTCAACACTCCTACTGCCCAGGAAAGGAAGCGCATGGATATGGTTAAGAAAGATTTCACAGAGGGGAAAGTGAAGCATCCTGTATCAGCCACCATCAACTACATCTCTGATGACCTGCCCATGTTACCCGGAGAGGCGGGGCTCAGGTAAAATAACAGGATTTGACACTATGTTATGGTCAAGTCAACCATATATTTGCAAATGAACATTCGAATTTGTAAATAATGAAAATTTTTTAATAAGATAATTTTATGATACATGTATTCTAAGAAGAGACTGTGTCATAGAACTTGCTCATTTTTTCTTCTTTAATTTGAATGGTAGGTTACTACACAAAGTAAAGGTTGGAGAGAAAGTGGATGAAAAACATGAGCAAAGGCATCAAGTGGAAGCCATACCAGGAAAACTGAGTTCACAAACAAAGAATGAGTAAGTCAGTGTTTTGATCCAATCACAGACAAGGAATAAATTTTATAGTCTAATCACAGATTAGAGTTATCCTTTGTTCTGGTCCAATCACAGACAAGGAAGAAGTCAGTGATTTGGACCAATCACAAACAAAGAATGAAGAAGTCAGTGATCTGGACCAATCACCGACAAGGAGTAAGTCAGTGTTCTGGTTCAATCACAGTCAAGTTATATGAATGAGAGCTACTGTTTTGGACCTAATAATAATTTGTATCAAGTGCAGCACAGACAAATACATGTTTTCTATCTCATTAATGAGACATTTCATAATGTTTTAGAAACCATGGCCAGGCACAGTATGGCATCCTGAGTATGCAGTGGATCACAGACATTCCTGTTACAAACGCTCCCTATGTATCCACCCCTCGATTTCAACCTAGATCTGAGGCAGGTTCATCAATGTCTCAGGTCACAGAGAGGTCACAGGATGCTTACACGGTGAAATCCATGGGCAGAGAAACCTCACGTCTTCCAAGACTTGCTCAAAAATATTCCAAACTTAATGTATCCAGGTAATTAACATAATAAATATAAATAGAATTAAACCTACTGTAACAATTAACTGTTTTAGCAATTTTCTCTTGCATTTGATTGTAATTTGAAGTGCTCCATTTGTTTTTTCCTAATGCTTAATGTATATTTCATCAAGTGACTACCCGTTAAACAGAACTTTTGAGCATAATCTTAATTCCTATCATCCAATCTTTATAAAAAGACTACATGATAAAGTAATTCATGAGACTATTCTTTTATTTCCTGAGTATATACTGATAGTCATATATTTAGATTTAGTGATTGCTAAAAAAAAAATTTCACTGAGTATTCCACTTCAATTTGCAAATAAACCAATATTACACATTTCTATCATTAAGCAATGAAAGTCATGAAATGTACTATTATTGTATGACCTTCAAAAAATTTCTCTCAATAGATCCAGCTGCTTAATACAGGTTAAACTGTGTGTATGCCTACAAATTTTATTCTATATTTTAGCAGAGAAAAATCAAGAAGGGATACGGATGATGAGTCCTTTTATTTACCCTCAATCCCTGGTGCCTACACACCTGATTTTGTGTGGGAACACCCCCTACCACCCCCACCTCCCCGTGAATCCAGGACAAATGTAGCATCCATCAATAAACAGCAAGAAGAATACTACAAATACTATTCTTTAATAAAGCGCAACATGCAGAAATATACCTCTGTAAGTACACAGACTTATCTCCCTTTAGTTTTATGCTTTTTGTTTTTGCTTTTAATTAATTTCAAATTTTATGCCTGTCTTCCACGCGAGTAAGAAATTTAAACTTGTAAATATGAATATATGTATGTATGTAAAATAATTGTAAAAAAGATCCAATCTTTAATAATTTTGCTACTGTCTTTGGTAAAATATTATGGAATAACACATACAAGCTATTTAAAGGAGTGTTAAAAAAAAAAAAAACAATTCTTACTAAGCACCAGGCTTGTAGATATTGTTGGTCAATGTTAGCACTGTTTTACAAGTATCAAAGTCGTCATTAAATTAAATTAAATTCAGCATATTTATCAAGAAAATGTTTCTTTCCAGAATGTGCCATCACTACCCAAGGTCGACATAAAGCAAGCTATACCCACCTCTAAACTACAGAAAAGTTTAACCAAGATGTCCAAGTTATCCCGAGGTCCCAGTCTGTTCTTCCCTAGAATCACACTTAATCAGCTGATCTCCTCCACATGATGATTATAGGGCAGAGTGTGAGATTCCGTCAGACAGTTTCTTTTATGTACTTGATTTACTTCAAACGTTTACTTCCAACTTTCAGGAGACCATTTTATTTCTGTAGATCTCAGTTACATTCATTTGTTATAGTTTTTTCTTGTTCATTGTTAATGTAGCAGATTTGCATTGCTTCTGTAAATCCATTTTTTGTTGAACATCAAGAATGTGACAGAGGACTGTTGTAAAGGCTGCTTCATTCAAATTCTTGCATGTGTAAAAGAAAAGGCAGAGGGAGAACAATAGACCTATTTAGGACACTTCCTTTGAAATCTGTTTTTTAAGTTATATTTAATTATTGTTATTAAATTCTGTTTGTTGATGATTTGTCTTTTTCTTTTCCATCATCTTTGTACCATTGGTTGCAAAGTTGAAGCAATTTACCACCAAAGTAGTCAAGTAATTGATAACAAAAATTATGCAGATATCAAACAGTAGTTTGATCTCCAAAAAAAATTTGCGAACGATGCAAATCTATGACCAGGGCATAAAAGAGAGACCCCTGGAAATCCCAGAGCTGGGATCAGGTGCCAAGGAGGAGTAAGCATCCCCTGTGGACCAGTAACATCCAGCTAATACTTAATGTACCGGTTCTTGAAACACTCTAAATGGACTGCTTCTCAAGGGGCTTTAATTTTATTGTCAGTAAAACAAAAATTCCTCCCCAGTTAAGTATGTGGTTGTGATTT